TTAGCATGTATCTCCTTATTTTCAAAAGTGACGTAACATTCTCAGTTGATGGTTCTTACAAATGGTGTTTAAAGGTACGTACAGTGAAAAGGTCAAATGTAAGACTTCTCTAACCCTCTGCTCTACATCTCTGGTAATGGCCTTCCTGGTGTTAGAGATTTGTTTAATGATCAATAGTGGTTTTTCTTTCCTGCCACTGAATCTTTCAGAAAGTGGGATAACCAAGTCAATGTTTAACTGGATTCTTTGGGTCTGGAATGGCCAAGTAGGGGTTGAAGGGAAGTATCCATGGAAACAAGCCTCCCAGGAAGTGGCCAGAGGGATTAGTGCATGGTGAAATAGAGCTAGAAAGATGTCATGAAGGAAATGACTGCTTTGTAAAGCCGGAGAAACTTAGAGAAAAGCTTCTGAAATACCTTGATGAAAACAAGCTACATTAAAGGCTCCAAAGCCATTTCCATCCTGGTTTTCTTTTGAATGTCTTTAAGGTGAAATGGGCCTGGGACACTCTAAGGCTCACCCTAGGGTGACCAAAGTAGCACCCCTACAAAACAAAGGAGAAGAGACTCCCTCAACCTGTCCTGTGGACTTTGCATTCAGTCAGAATCTGGAAGAAAAGAGTTTGTATTCCTTTGCAACACTGCAGGACCGAACTAAAGCTTTGGAAGGGCAGCTGCCACCTCTACGAGAGACGGGGTATGGAAAATATTCTGCAGGTAAACTTAAAACACAGCATGAGATTTGTGTATTTGGGCCAAGAAGAGCTATTGGTAGATTTAGCTGACTGTATATCTCCTTAATCTCAGAAAGTCTCTAAATTGCTGAAATATAAGCGGACATTTTTTAATGGGGACTGAATGTTTATTAACTGAAAGTATTATTCGGTACATTAGAACAGGTGTGTAAACTGTACAAAGGACTTTACACAATTTTGTATGAGATGGAAAACATTGTTTTGTTTCAGCTTGGTTTATAGTGTTTTCAATGTTTATACATGGATTTACCAAGTCATTAAAATTATATC